TCTACTTGTATCTTGTGGTCATTTGATTATTTTCATTATCATTTTTTGGTATTTCAAAAGTAGTTTATCAGTTCGTATCTCGTAGTTTCTGGTTAACGAAACTCACTATTAAACCCTACTGAATCATCTAACTAATTAATTGAGCTACATGTGAGAATATAAATTCGAAAAAAAAACTTTTGTCTTGTAAATGATTCAACTAGCCAATCTAAGCTAGACCAATATTAAGATCCTAGAGGCACTAAATGGCTATTTCGTCTTATTATGAGACTCCGTATAAGTGCGTACTCAGGATCCCACGCACGGGCTTCGAACGCCGAATCGATTGAAGTCAAACATTAACATCGTTCGACACCGACTTAGGGGTCTAGAGGCTAATTCTTCACGAATCTCACATACGACATCGTGGATGCGTACTTCTGAGAATTTCCATACTGGGACGAAATGGCCATCTAGTGCTTTTAGTTTTTCAATAATAGTCTGGCTTAGATCGGCTCGTGAATTCTACTTTGAAAATACGAAAATCTCCAAAAATCCCCTTATCAATAACAATTTATTGAACACAGCTATAATTAGTCACACTCAATGGGTCCGGAGTAGAAATCAACGAGAGGAAAGTAAATCAGTTATTTAATAGTTGGTAGGCTTAGTGGCTGTTTGTCTACTCTCAACGAACAATCCTAGTCACAACCCTCAGCTCATGAAGTATCTGTGATGGTTAACGCGTTTCTTTTTTTTAAAAATAGAACAGAAAATGATTTTTTACTGTCATCACATAAAGGTTAATTACAATAAACGTTAGTGTAAATGATAACCGATAGATAGGTCAAAAGTCAACAATGAAATAGAGAATATGAGCACAGTTATAAAGGCTGTTGTGTCGCTTTTCGGTTCTCTGAGCTAAGATCATGTGTCATCATATGTGTTTTTTTAAATAAAGAAATGTGCAGACAAAAAGAACTGAAATCAACTATGAGTAAACTGTCAAGAGATTATAATTACAACAGAGCCGAAAATGAAGATAAACAGGAAAATAACACAAGTGTACACTATACTGTCAATTGATAGTCTTTTTAAAACTATAAACTGACTACTGAGTATTAGTAAGTAGTAAGGGATAATGGAGAAAAAAAGGAGAAAATGTGCATGAGTTTAACACTTAATAACTCAGTTCATGTTTACACAACACAGAGTGTACATATTTAAAAGTTACTGACACTCTTTAGCATCATTATCTTATTCAAGGAGTATAATACAGTGAAATAAATTTTGAAAAATAAATAAGGGGACATGAAGAATTTGTGAGAACAAAAAGAATGGATGTACCTGCACCATTGCAGACAATTTTGAAACATGTGATTCAAGGTCTCTAACCATCGGTTCCTATCATCTCGCGGATTCCAAGCAGGTAGTCTACACCTACCAACATGGCTCAGTTCACTCGTCAGTGACTTCATAGATTTGTACCATGTTTTGGTCTGGCCGACCTTAGCTTTCTTCCAACCTACTCCTACATCACTGAGCATCGCACGTCGTGGCAGTCGGTGGTTGGGTATACGTAACACGTGTCCCAGTCATCTCAACTGATGAACTTTCACTATCTCATCAATTGATTTGCCATCCTTACCTAGTACCCGTTTCCTAACTACCGCATTACTTACTTGGTGTTCCCATGATATACGAGCAATGTTTCGAAGACACCTATGATCGAATACTAGTAACCTAAGAATATCCTCTACTTTTACTGGCCATGTTTCATTGACATAAAGAAGGACGGAACGAACTGCTGCACAGTAAACCCATCCTTTGGTTGATAGACGGATATCTCGCCTACGCCATGAATGACGCAAGTTGGCAAAAACTAGTTGATCCTTCTGTATCCTAGCTGAGATTTCGTCACACACCAGACCACAAGGGCTGATGAGACTTCCAAGATAAGTGAAGCGGTCGACACACTCAACTACTTCACTCCCTATCACTAGTTCGGGTGTTGATGTAACCCAATCGTGAAGCAACATTTTGCATTTCGAGGGGGAGAATCGCATCCCGAACATGCTTGTATTGTTGCTTAGAGTGGTCAGAAGACTCTGCATTTTGTCAGCGTCTTCACCAAATAGAACTAAGTCATCGGCATATTCTACTAAGTCAACAAGTGAATTTCCTGATATAAGTTCAACCCCTTGAAATTTAGATGAGGAGAGTGTTATCTCTAAAAGTGCGTCAATGACAAAGTTAAACAAGAATGGAGAGGGTGGGCAGCCCTGACGAACACCACTTGAGGTAATCAATTGTGATGACAGTTTGCAATAAGCTCTCACTCTACCAGTTGTGTTTGAGTAGAGAGCCTTTATAAGGTTAATGTAATTCTTTGGTACTCCATGTAAAAGAAGTGTACCTACTTTAATTCTTTGGTTTTGTATAATATATTTTCTACTTCATACTAAGTTTTCTGATTGGCTAATATTTTTTAAGGTCACTTAAGATTCGCTCAGAGGTCGTCTATAAATTGTAGTGTCGTCAAAATTGTCGAGCCAGTTGTTTCGTAAACAAAAATTTCAATAAATCCAGTCGTTCATTTCGAAAGAAGTGTATAACTGCCCTTCAAGATTTGACAACACATTCGTCTTGAGGAAAATATCTGACTTGGTTTATCATCTCAAAATGGTATAAAGAAGTTACCTACCGAAAACAATGGAAGACAATTGCATAATATCATAGATTAATCGACGTTAGACGTGTACACTACTGGTTGTTGGCTAAATGGTTTGAAAATTAGGCATTGGTGTACGAGACCGGAAGTCCTAGGTTCAACTACTGGCTGTGAAGTTGTGAATATGTATTGCCTAGGGGTTCCATATCAATACGAAGCGACAGTCCATGTTTTCAATGAGTTTTTTTTAGTTTCAAACTGTTAGAACTCTACATTTTTGTTATAACTTGTGAACACAACGATACCGCCAATCAGAGAGCAGCGAACTATCGATCGAACCAATGACACATAAAACACGTGCGAGCAGTTTAGAGTCCTAATTGATCCTGCTTTCCGCCTAGCCCAGCCAGTTGAGTCCAGAACACTAATCTCAGCCTCTGCGATATGAATCATGTATTTTAAACACACGAAGTTTATATGCCAGACAGACAGACCACATCGTACCAATAAGATAGGAAACAACATTTATACAAGATTTAGCCAAATGTGGCTGTGAATAAGGGAGACAGTAATTGATAGACAGGGGATAATTCAAGAATGGTAAGTCGTCTAATAACAGTTCATAGGTTAAAATAAAGGTTATAATAAGAGCGACATAAATATGAACAGTTTAGTTACATAACAATTATAGACATAGTACTGGTCCATAAATGGATCCCAATAGTTACCATTCATTATTCTTATCGGGATATAACAATTTCCCAAGTGAAATCGATATAAAGCTAAGAATTGTCCCATTATGTAACAATTTAAATTTCATGTGTTAATATTAACATGAAACTAACGAAGTTCTTTTTAATTTCGAAAATATCGTCAACTGAATTACTTATTTATTATCTATCAATTCTAATATGTACAAACATAAATATCTAAACTCATTATGTACATTTACCTGTTTTCTTGCATTCCATCCTTATACTTATCATGGTTGCTTTATTTTATGATACAAATTAAACTACTTTATAGTAGTTAGTAGTTTGAAATGAAATATCGAATTTCTTGTCGAGCATATGAATTTGATTTAGCAGGTATCAAGTCTAACAATATATATATATATATATATGAATAATAGAGAAAAATCCTTAGTACTATCATTATAAACTTCATTGTCATCATAAATAGGACGATTTTCTGATTGAAATCATGAACCGAACGCGAACGCTTAACATTTAGACCACTGAGCACGCGAAATCGGACTCCCTAGGTTCGAATTCCTTGAGCGAGATCATGAATTTGCACTTCTGAATGAGTCTTTTCCATGGTGGTCTAGCTTAAATCGACTCATAATCTCAATGAAAAACTTGATCATCTTCACAACCCGATATTGATAAGGACAATTTTCTGACTTATTTATAAAATATTCTATGCTAAAGAAACACAAACACCTACACAATAAGAGAATTGTTTATTAAGATTAAATAATTTTGCATATAATTACAATTTATCACCTATTTTTATTGAACATTTAAAAATGAACGGAAATAAATAAATTTGGTATCAACTACAAAGAAATTCGGTAATCAATAAATGGTAATTAATACAATGAAATGATTGATCTCAATTACTATTCACTTATCAATAGATATGTTTGTAATTTAGGAATTGAATTCATTCTCAGTCAATTAAAGCTAGAGCATCATGGAAAATCTGAAAGTGCTGAATGGACGTTTTGTCCTATTGTGGAACTTATCCGCAGTGCACATGCACGATTCCGCCCCCTCCCCGCACGAGATTCGAACCCAGGGCCTAGCAGTTTTTGATAATATTCAATCATACTTCAATTCATATTCATTCCTATTCTATATTGAATAATAAACCTTTATCTCTTAACCATAATAATAAAAAGATTATAAGCAATACAATACCAAGTGAATTGATTTTATTCTTCAAAATTCATTTGATTTTATTGAATCATTGAACCATTTGATTTGTTCTCTTCATATTTAGAATAGAAATAATCTGATGATAATAAGAACAATAATAAAAAGTGAATATAACCAATCTTAGTGCCAAAGTTCGAATACGTATGTATGTATGCGTGTGTGTGTGTCTGTGTGTGTGTGTGCAAACGATACATGTACACCTACGTACATACGTGCGCACACACACGCACACCCACATGAATGTAGATGAGTATCATCTTGACTTTACCTGAGTTATACATTCATCTATATATATACATACCTATTCCTTAGTTTACATATGACTGACTATTGAAGATTCAGTATTTATATATATCTCTCTAATGGATGAAAATATGAAAGAATAAATCTCAAGTGGGAATCATTTTTTAAAAAAATCTATTTGTTAAACGACAGTAATAATAATGAGTATCTTGATTAGATTTCTTCCACCCACCTGATTGATATGTTACCAAGTGAATAATAGTAATAATCATGTTGATCATCGCTATCATCATTATTTTTGATCGATAACCTGTTTCTTCTTTCTCCTCCTCCTCCTCCTCCTCCTCCTCATCATCATCATCATCATCATCATCATCATCATCATCATCATCTTCTTCTTCTTCTTCTTCTCTTTCAATATACATAATAGGCAATCATAAGTTTATCATAATGATGACCACCAATATTTAGTTTTTTTTAAAAAAAAAAGAATGATATGACCAAATGAATATATCATGCATATGAAGCATCATATATCTATCATATCCACTTCATTGTTCGAAGAAGAAGAAAAAGAAGAAGAACGGACAAACGCAGAAGAAGAAGAACGAGAAGAAAAAGAAAAAAAGAGAAGAAAATAATCTTAATCATTCTTGTTGTTAAGAGTTCCTCTTTATTCTTTTAAATATGTGCGTGTACCTTTTATTTATTTAAAAGAAATTAGATAAAGGAGAATAAGGGGGGAATAGGGAGCGTATATATAATATATATATATATATACATGCACACGCACACGCACACACACACCTTTACACACATACACACGCACATAGGTTAGTAATCGATAATATTTCATCAATTATGTTGATTTAAATATTGTTGTTCTTTTTTCTTTTTCTTTTTCTCTTCTTTTCTCTTTTCTTTTTTCCTTGTTCAACATTAATCTAATCAAGTGAAAAATAAGTTGAATCCATTGAATTTCTTTCTTTACTTTTTTATTTTCTACTTTAATTATCTTTATTATCATTATTCTATTATTTCACTATTTATTGTTTATTAATTTACCATCATGGAAAACCTGGAAGCACTGGACTGCCGTCTCATCCTAGAGTGGGACTCCTCAGTGGCAGTGCGCATCTACAATCCCGCCCCCCTAACGAGATTCGAACCCACGACCTTTCAGTTTGACGCGAGAGCGCTTAGCTATTAGACCACTGAACCGGTCGGCATGCAACGCTGTTAATGTCTAAGTTCAACCAATTCACGAAGTTTCGCCACCGTACACCAATGTCTTCAGTGAGTTGATATCTCACAACAGACCTGGTTGAACTCCACTGGTAACGGCTTCTCACTAGAACTCCAGGAGCATCTCTTGAAGTCAGTCACTAATGAGCAGATGATTATTATCATAAGGGGTTTTGTGGAGATTTTTAGAAATTTCACTGATTGAAATCATGAGTCAATTGAAGCTAGACCACTATGGAAAACCTGGGAGCGCTGAACACCAACACTACTACTAATAAATAAATAAATAAAGTTGAAGTTGGTTGAAGTTAGACATTAACACTGTTGTATGCCGGATCAGTGGTCTAATGGTTAAGTGCTCGCATGGGAGACTGTTAGGTCCTGGGTTCGAATCTCGCGGGATCGTGGATGCGCACTGCCATTGAGGAGTCCCGCTCGAAGACGAAACGGCAGTCCAGTGCTTCCAGGTTTTCCGTGGTAGTCTAACTTCAACTGACTCATGGTTTCAATCAGTGAACTTTCTAAAATTCTCTACAAAACCCCTTCAGATAGAATTTTAGTCCAAGGTTACGTCCTGTTTTAGTCCCGTCAATTAGATGTACTTGCATCTTGAAGTTTATATTTGGTGCGATAACATCTAAAGTGAAACGGTACTGGGTTCGAGTCCCAGAGTAAACATCAGCTCAGATGCAGATACATCTGGCTGACGAGGGTGAAGTAGGACGAAACACTGGTCCTGGATCCCATTGCCTATAGTGCTTATGACTTCAAGAAATATCTAGGTAATCTACATAGGACGACTGTTCAATTTCACTTCTAAACATTAATGTGTAGATTCAAGCAATCAATACAAAAATGAAGTGAAATTTAGATCGTGTGTGTTTCGTCTTCTTCTGGTTTCATCAACTAATTGCATCTCAACCCCAAATATTTCTGATATTCACACTGAGATCATTTGTTTTATCTACTTAGCTACTGATCTGAACATTGTAATGCTTAAAATTAACAATGAGGAAATATAAATCTTTTTCAAATAACACTTACACCCATGAAACAAGTGAATGTCTATATTGAAACAATCTACTTAGAATGAGCATATCTCAATAGAGTTGAATCACTTCTTATCCATAATGTCAGCAATGTAAAAACATTAACATTGAATAAGGACTTTAAAGTTAATTGTAATTATCTTATTCTAGCTTCCGGCTTATCAATAATTCATGTATAAATGACCATTGAGTCTCAGTATATACGACAGTTGTATATCAGCTGATCAAAAATCTGATAACTTATTACTTACGTCTGTTACTCTTCGCGGAGGAGCGTAGGCTGCGCAATTTTGATTGTTCTTCCCGGTCTCCTACATTGTCCGGACATTCCATGTATCTATAAAAATTGTTGCTCTAGTTGTTAGAAGGGGCATCGACCTCATGACTTCTGAAGATTATCGGCTTTCATCCTGAGGGCGTCATAATTCTTCCTTCAATTCCCAAGGGAGAGTTTAAATGGTTTAATTTGCTTCATCTGGTTGTCGTATTTTTAGTAAGATTTTTCTCTACGGGATGGGATTGCCGACCCCATGCACAACCCTCCTCCTTTACCTGGGCTTGAGACCGGTAGTAACTCTAGAAGAGTTACAGGCGGAGTTCTAACAGTTTATCATCTGAGTTAATTAACCATGTAATGATATAATAGCCATCAATCAAATGTTATTTAATATTTCATACGTATTCGTTAGTTCAATCATTGATTTTAACTAGTGTGATAGAAACAAAGTGACTTCAGTTCTTACGTAATTACTTTCTTACTTACGCCTGTTACTCCCAATGGAGCATAGGCTGCCGACCAGCATTCTACAACCCACTCTGTCCAGAGTCTTCCTTTCTAGTTCTATCCAATTTTTGTTCATTGTTCTCCTATCTTTCTCCGTTTCTCGACGTAATGTGTTCGTTGATCTTCTTCTTCTCATTTGGCCTTGAGGATTCCATGTGACGGCTTGCCTTGTGACTCAGTTGGGTGCTTTCCTCAATGTATATCCTATCCATTTCCAGCGCTTCTTCTTCCTGATTTTTTCCTCCTCTGAGATCTGGTTTGTTCTCTCCCATAGTAGTTTGTTGATGATAGTGTCTGGCGAACGGGTCCGAAGTATTTTGCGTAGACAACTGTTAATAAACACTTTCTAAGTGATTGTTTTCGTAGTTCTCCAGGTTTCCACCCCATACAGTAGAACTGTCTTCACATTTGTATTGAAAATCCTGACCTTGGTGTTGGTTGACAGACAGTTGTTTTGAGTTCCAGATGTTCTTCAACTGTAAATATACTGCTCTTGCTTTGCCGATCCACGCCTTTACTTATGCATTAGATCCATCGTGTTCTCAAACTAAACAACTAAATATCAGTATATTTAACCGTAATCATGTATGATACAAGTTCAGATTGTATCAGCTACTATGAAACTGTTAATAGATTATATTATTGATGATAGGAGTTGTCAATCTATTACTAAGAATGCTACAACTATACTTAATTGTCAAACTCTGATCGACTTTTGAAACGTTCCGACGTTTTTATTAGTTGAGTAAGTTCTAAACAGATAATGAATATTCAGAGGGTGTTGAGTTTTGATTTTTAATGGAACTTTGAATTCGTTTCGACTGTAAAAAGTTTTATACTAAAATGTCATTGTTATGTAATACTCTCCAGTTTCCAATGGTTACTTGTTTAAGGTCAATTCAAGATGTAAACTGTAGTATCTATGAATTTGTTAAAGTTTTCTTTCTTCTTTATTTCAAACATACTGAGTTTATATACGAACGAGACAGACCACATTGTACCATCAAATAGGAAACAACATTTGTACAAGATGTAGCCAGTTGTGGCTGTGAATGTGGGAGGCAGTGACGTATAATAATAGTTCATAGGTTAAAATAAAGCTTATAATAAGAGGAACATGATTATGAACAGTTTAGGTACTTGAAAGTTATACAATAGAAATATACATTTAGTATTGGTCCATCAATAGATCCCATTCATTATTCTTATTGGGATATAAGAGAAACAAACAAAGCAAAGTAATCGATTGTTTTCTTTTGATATTCACTGTATAGGTAACTTAGATCAACATTAATAATGCATTCATAATGATAATATTCATCACAAAACCTACACAGCTGAATAGATGTAGTCGATTCGGTTTGTCTTTATCTTCTGAAATTCCTCTGGCGGAAGACTTGTATATTATCGTTTGAACTCTGATTGGTTATATAATATAATATACCTTTATGGGCCAAGATAATTTTACATTGGTTTTCAGGAGAACCGGACATTATCCAGACTTTTACGCGACAATTCAAACAGTACCCCAAATGCCCTGGTACGGCGATGATGCTGTCACACGATCACGCGTATACAACCTCTGCCAGGAAAGTTCTACTCATTGCCTTCTCGTGGCGAGGGTTTTGTTTACAAAATTGATAGGACGAAAAGTGGATGTCCGGCGCTTTAATCGAGCCAGTGGACATGGTGAGTCCACCTAGGAAAGTTGGAAAACCCTAATTACAAGCCAATAGTGTATATGGGCTCCAGAATCCTAAGGGAACAAATGGCGTATGAACCAGTTGTTGGCCACCGGCTACCATGGGACTGCATTTCCTCACGATGCTCCACTGCCTTATGGGTCACACCTTTAGGTCAAATGCTCGGGGTGTGACCCCCTAACAAAACCACCTGCTTCAGTCTGGGTACTCGGGCATTATCACAGCCCACACGCAAATATGATGGAATTTCAATATTTATGGAAAATACTTGTTTTGCTTCGATTAACAATCATACGATTCACATTATTATTATTATTATTTACGTCATTTATTCTTTCTCTTTTATTCCCACTCTGTGTATCCTTATTTTTCGACTTATACAGCAGCTGGTCTATGGTGGAAACTCCGTTCTATCTAAACGTTCTTGAGTCACCGTCCGGTTGAAAATTGTATGCTATCATCGAATACGAGTACTGAAGGAGTTTTTCTGAAACCACGTGCGCCATTCAAACTGGCTGCCTCCAACGTTCGCACACTTATGCAGGTTGGACAACAGATAGGGCTGGCTATGTCTTTGGAAAGTCTTAATATCGATGTTTGTTGTCTTTTCGAGACCCGTATTCAAGACTCTGGCGAAGTACTAC